CGTCTGGTACTCGATCTCGTCCCTTCGCCTTTGGCCCGCTCAACCCCAAGTTTTCGCTCCTCTCGGAAGAGCTTCTCTGCCGCAACGCCCGGAGCAGGAAAAGGGGAACCCAGAAAGAAAAGGGAAGGAAAAGACTTTGTTATGAGCACAAAGTAAGTTTGGTCGCTCCTTCCTCTCATCTGGCACGTACGCCGGCGTCCTGGCCTATCTGGCGTTCGGATGATGAGGTGCCAGCGCTGCCCCCATCGTGCGAGGCAATGTCCGAGGGATCCAGAGGAGCTACCTCTTGGGAAATGCTCGAGATTCCTGATTGCCAATGCTCACCGTGAAGGAACCGTACAGGCCCCAGTTTGCTGACCTCCCTTTTCCTCTTCATGCTTGACTGGGCTTGTTGCGTTCGACCCCTCACACCTGTTCCGATCCGCTCGCTGCGGCTCTACCTTTCAGCATCTACATGGAGCCTAGCAATTACGCCTCTACCCACTACGGTGGTGGTCCTCTACCGGATCGTCAACCGGCCTTCTTCCAAGGGGACGCATCCCACGAGCCACGAGCTGCTCGTCCTTTCGACAGCCACGGCTCTTCAGCTGGCCCTAGTGACCTGTATGCTCAGCAACCTCCTGCCCCTGGCGTCCTCGACAACCACCATTCTCCCCTCTCTAGTGGCTTGCCTTTCGCTGAGCAGAACGCTGCCCACCCCGGCATGAGCTACCGACCTCACTCGCCCGGCTCATCTTCCATCACCTCGTCACCCGGGTATCGAGGTAGCTTCTCGCATCACCAAATTCCTGGGATGGCCCACCAGAGGCACGACTCGATCTCGTCCCTGTCATCACCCCACGATGTAGGCGGTCCTTGGGCGCCCTCTTCTCCCGCCCTAGGCGGCGGTCCGCCTAGTCGACACGCCTCGATCTACTCCTTGAACGGTCACTTCGATCAGGTTGGCATAAACAACACCCCGAGCTTGGACGGTTCTTCTTCGCAGCACACGACGGGCACCACCAGCGGCCACATGTACGAGCAGTCCCCGCCCTTGCCAGCGCAGATCAGGTACGCTCAGGCCGCCCAGGCGATCGACGCGAGGCGCTTTTCCCTAGATGAAAGGCAGATAAGGAGCCAGCCGCAGGCCATGAAGGGCAGCAGTGGTGATCTCCAGACCTCGAGCGGTCGCCACTGGCCATGGGGTACAGGAGCCAGCGGCATTCATGGCCGCCACGCTTCCGTCTCTGCCGCCCCTCAGCAATCTTCCTACGAGTACTCTCAGCAAACCCGAACCCCCTACGGACACACTGCTGCCTCTGGTTTCCACTCTTACGACCCCTCCCAGGCTTCTCCCCTATCGCCCCAGAGGTACAGGTCGATGAGCAGCAGCGCGATCAGCGGCCGTCAGTACCCCTACCCTTACGGTTCGCCGGGGACGGCAGCGCATGCCGCTGCCGCCATGGGTTATGGGATGGCACCCCACATGGGACCGGGTGGCATGCTGATGGACGGAGAGATCCCAGAGGGTCCAGGCCCAGCCAGGCGAGCAAAGTTCAAGCGGAGCCGAACCGGATGCCTCGTATGCAGGAAGAGGAAGGTCAAGTGTAGCCAGGATGGCACTCCTTGCAAGCAGTGCAGGATAGGCAAACGTGACTGCCACTACGAAGACCAACCTCAGAAGAAGAAGACGAAGAAGGACAAGGCAGCGGCCGCCGCCGCAGCTGCGACCACAACCTCCGCCGGTGCTCCTGCATCGTCTTCGAATGGCGCGCCGGCCGACGGTTCGGAGAAAAACTCGAGCAACGGCGCATCGCAGGGAGGCAGCGCCGCCTCAGGCTCTGGTGGCATGGCCTCCCAGGGTTCGTACTACGCTCATTCGCAGCACGACGTGTTGGGACACGAGTCTGGCAACAACTGGGCCAAGCGGTACTCTGACGCGGACCACAGGTCTAGTGCCTTGACTTCGCATCACATGAATGGAGCCCACAGCTCGGCTTCCCACGGCGGTGTCACTTTCTCGATGCCGTTCTCGAACCAGGCTACTCCGTCGGTCGCTCCATCTCACTCGGCTTCGAGTGACGGCGCCTGGTCCACTTCTTCTCCGTTCAATTCCGGCCCGGGACCTCACGGAGAGTTGCACCCGAGCCATCACAACGAACACCTAGCCCCGCAGGAACACGGCGCCGACTCGACCGAGTACGGATGGACCCCGACGAAACATGCGGCGGACAACGATGCGCGTGGAGCCTACCCGGCTCCTCCTCCCGCAGCTGTCGGTCTGGGTCAACCGGACCTTCGAGACGGGCATGGACATGGCTCTTATTGGAGCGGGCCGAATCCCCAGCACACGTACGCACCCCCACCGCCCTCTGGCTTTGAAATGAAGCACGAAGTTGGCGGTGATCATCCTGCCGCTCACCACCATTGAACCTCTTCCGCGGGGGCGGGAGGGATGCATCCCCCCCCTTACGCTGAGCGTCTCGCGGTCCCCTCCTCCACGACTTGATAATACGCCTGTAGGCGCCGAACCTTTAAGAGACTAAAGCTCGGATCCGTCCCGTGCCTGTATTCTAAACGCGCTCCTAATCCTCCATCCTGGGACGGACCCATATTCGACTTCGATTTGCATATACCTTTTTCAAAGCTGCGATTTAATACGCTTCCCCCCCCTCTTCTTGGCCCCTGGACTGGCATCCCTTCCCACACCTCTAATCTCATGCCCTGTGAACAACGGCTTATCATGCCCTCCTACCGAACAGTGTGATGGGGTGGTTGTCGACGCGATCGCATTGCCGAAGAGGTGAGAATGGAGATGGGTTCTGCTGTCGATCAAGAATCGAAAAGGTACAGTACAATCGAGTGGAAGGATGGGGGACGAGTTTGGCGCGGTCCTGACCTTCCCCCAACCCGTTTCCCGTTTGGGGCAGAGAGGGAAGGGGGAAGGCACTCGGAACTCGGATCTGGAGAGAAGACTCAAGGGTAGGAGAAGTCGAAACCGGTCGGGTCCCAACCTTCCATCTCGACAAAGTTGCAAGCCGAGATCCTCAGCTTTTCGTGAGACGAGCCTAGGATGGCTTTTCCTGGCCACTGATTTTTTTTTGGGGGGGTGGGTTTGGGGATTCAGTTAGTTTATATTGGATTCGATGGGAGGGGGTTCCTTCTCCATTTCAACCCGCCTCTACTTACGCCACCGATGCTTTTGTGGATCGAATCCCATAGGACGTGAAAGTCGCCATGAAGTTGGGAGGGGGTGGAAAGGGGGGGAGAGAGAGAGAGAGAGAGAGTCAGAAGGTGGCGTCTGATTCACGATCTTCCACGCCCCACTCACACATCTTGGAAGGGGTACGGCCTGACCGATTGCCAGATCTTTTCCACGTCCTTGGGTTTCAGGGGGATCATGTCTTGGGGTTTGGGGAGTAGGGAGATGTTAGGCGAGGGTTTTTTATTTTATTTTTTTATTTTTCGCGCGATGGGATTGCCCGGAGGAAGATGATTAAAGCAATTTTGTGAGAAAGGTCCAGATAGGAAAGGAGAGAGGAAGAAGGGGAGGCGCGGGGTGGTCGAGAGGAGGAGAGGGAAGGGTACAGTGAACGACTCACTTGGGTAGGACCACATGAAGCTGAAGGTCTTGCCGTCGGGGCAAGGCATGAAGGTGTCGGAGCAAAGGGCGACGCCTCCGCGCCTTGCGTTCCCATCACCGGCACGTTGGGAGGTGGTGTCGTGACCGGGGGTGAGGTCCCTGTCCCAAACGAGGATGGAGGAACCAGGAAAGTGACCTCCGCACCGTAGGACCTTGACACCTGGGACGACCTCGAGCACGTCCCCCTCCCAAGCGACGACGTGCTCGCTGCAGGCTTGGATGTCCAACCTCTCCTCCGGACTGAAGTCCTCCCTGGCCGTGTCGACGAGAGAGTAGAGTCCGTCCGAGACTTGGCAAAGACCCCTTAGGTACCACTCCTTGTCGAGGGAGGAGATGTGGACCTTGGTAGAGAGAGCCTTGGCCCAGGTTAGGGAGGAGTTGTAGAAATGGGGGTGGGAGACGAAGATGCCGAGGAAGGGTAGACGGCTGCTCTGCTGGAGTTGAAGGATCCGACTCGCAAGGTTTCGGGTGAAGAGGGCCGAGCAGTCCCAGATGAGGATCCCCTTGGTCGTTGTGACGAGGATCGGGGTCTGACCGATCCCGACCGTATCCCTCCAACCCCCTCTCCTTACCGGGGAGGACGGAAGATCGGCGCCGTCGCCATCGCCGCCGCCGCCACTGAAGAAGGACTTGAGCCTGAGGATGCAAGGTTCGCTCGGTTCCGGCACCATCTCAAAGTCCAGACGACCCTCTCCGAACTCGAGCTCTTCCAGGTTGGTCCACTTTTGACCTCCGGGAGCCACGTACTGCCTCTCGTCGAGGCAGATGATGCAAGAGTTTGGAGGGAAGAGCTTGCTAGGATCCTCCTGCGAGTACTGGGCTCCGCAGGTGCAGCAGATCAACTTCTTGGAACTGTCGGAGCGGGGGGGGAGGCAAACGATGGGGACGCTTGAATGCTCGCATTGAGGTCGAAACTCACTCTTGTTCGAGGACCTTGGAGACCATCTCGAGATTGAAGCTTTGACCTTGAAGGGTGGACATCTTTTTGTGCGGTTTCCGGAGGAAGAGGGGTTGCACGTACTTTGGAGGGAGGTGAGAGGGGGGGTTATCGACTTCGGACGAGGAGGTAGGGTGGTGTGGCATACATTCCTTCCTTTCTACCCCATTTCCCCCAACCCAAGTCTCCGCTCCTCTGCCCCCCCTCATGGAGGAGACGTTTGGCCACCATTGTCGCTCGACACCTGCCTCAGACAGGGAGGGAGGATGGAGAGGGGCATGGATGCAGAGGGGGAGTGTGCGGGAAGCTTGGGGCTCGTTCCCCCGTGACCACGGACTTTACCAGCGGACTTGGAGGAGATGTGGAGGGGGTTTCTTTTGCTTGAGGTACGATTGATTCGGTTGGGTAGTGTACGTTTGCTAATAGTGGAAGTCTCAATAAGGCGATTTGGCGGAGTGGTTATCGCGGTAGATTAGAACATCTTGTTGTTCATAATTGATCTTCTTCCCCCTGGGAGCACAGGTTCGAATCCTGTAGTCGTCG